ATTGTAATGGACGCTAGGGCATGAATTAGGGCCTTAATCGCAGACTGGACGGGATGGGCCGCCTGCTGAGGAGGCACGGCACGTAGGCAAGGAGCAGCTCAGCGAGGCTTGCGCGCGACAGCGCCTTGGGAGCATGGGGAGACACGGCGCAGCTCGAGGAGAGTGCTTTGGCGGTCTGGGACAGCGTGGCGGCTGCACATGTGGCGCCATGGGCGCTGTGGCGCGTGGCTTGAGTCGGCCGCGGCTGCACTCCGCAACTAGGGCATGCGGCGTGCGGGAACGAGGAAGGCTCGGCGATTGAGCAGCGGGCAAGCGCAGGGTTAGGTCAACGCTGTAAATTCGGGTTATATGAGGGTCCCCTCTCGTGTAAAATGTAAATGCAGAGATAAGAAACCCGATGCCGCATGAGATCTACTAACCGGACGCTCTGGTGGTAGCGACCGACGCTTCTACCACCAGTCCGTCGATTCCAATGAAGGTCCAAAACCTCTCGAATCGTGGACCGGACATGTCCGGTGAACACCGACCGACGCACCTGGTCGAGTCCGGCTCACCTAGCCTTGATGCCTTCATGATCGAACGGACACAAGCACCTTCTCATCGGACGAGAGAACATTGTTCCAGCCGATCCAAATACCCTCGCAAAGAAGTTCACCTCCTATGAACTGACCAGGGACGCTTTGGACATCGAGTGCAGTGCATCCGTCACTCTTTCTTCCACGAATCTTCAAAGTCCTTCGCGTTCGCTCCCAATCAAGTTCCAACTCTAATAAGATGCAAATAAACACAAATTGGGACTGATATGAGTGACCTCTCTCAAACCCTCAAGTTTTTCAAAATATTTTGCCTTAGGCTATAATCATTTTTAAGAAAATAGGCAATAAAAGGGCGATTTAAGATAAACGACAAAACAACATTCATGCATATGCAAAACTTGAAAATAAATCTAGTTGCTTGTCAAGTTTGATCCAAGGTTAAGCTTCTTCACACGCTTTTTAGACGGTTATCTTAACCATGTTAGACAAGCCCTATGTGCGTTGCCATAAAGTAAATATGTAATATCTTACAATGCAATGCAAGGGACAACACAAAGCTCATCTTTTAGTGAAGTTACTAAAATCAAGAACATTGAGCTCATTCCAAGAAAACAACAAAATGTTGCCTCATCTAGCGGTTTTGTAAAGATGTCCGCTAATTGATCCTCTGTTCTTGCACCTTTAGTGATATATCATTTTTAGCAACATGATCTCTAAGAAAGTGATGATAGATATCTATGTACTTGGTGTGAGAGTGTTGAACCGAATTATTTGCAAGTTTTACAAGCACTTTTCATTGTTGCACAAAAGAGGTACCTTTTCTAGAACTACACCATAGTCTAGCAAAGTTTGTTTCATGTAAAGTATTTGTGCACAACAAGCACCCACAGTAATGTATTCCGCTTCGGTGGTGGACAAAGCCATACTATTTTATTTCTTGGGACCAAGACATAAGTGAACTACCAAGCAAATGGCACCCTCTAGGATGTGTTTTTTCTATCAACTTTGCATCCGCATAATCTGAATCAGAATAGCCAATTAATTCAAATCTAGCTCCTTTGGGATACTCAAAGGCCAATGCTTGGTGTGTGCTTAAGATATCTAAGGATTCTTTTTCACGGCAATTAAATGAGTTTCCTTAGGATTGGCTTAAATCTAGCACACATACACACACTAAACATGATGTCGGGCCTAGATGCGGTTAAATACTGACAAAGCTAACAATCATAGAAACGGTAGAGAGTTTGATCAACCTTGTTACCTCCCTCATCTAGATCGAGATGTCCATTAGTAGGCATTGGTGTCTTGATTGGCTTACATTCATCCATCTTGAATCTCCACTGAGAAGATCATTTGTATATTTCTCTTGAGAGATGAAAACTCTTCTCTCAATTGCTTGACTTGAAAACCAAGAAAGAATGTAAGCTCTCAATCATTGACATCTCGAACTCCTTCGACATCAATTCACCAAATTCTTTGCAAGAATCTTCATTTGATGATCCAAAGATGATATCATCAACATATACTTGACAAATGAAGATATGCTTACCATCAAGCTTCTTGGTGAATAGTGTGGGTGTCGACCTTCAATGGTGAAGCCCTTCTCAATGAGAAAAGTCCCTAAAGGCGCTCATACTAAGCTCTTGGGGCTTGCTTAAGCCCATATAATGCCTTGGACAACGCATAAACATGATTAGGATCTACAGGGTCCTCAAACTTGGGAGGTTGAGTCAACATAGACTAGTTCATTAATAAAACCATTTAAAAATGCACTTTTACATCCATTTGATATAATTTCATTTTATGATGTGATGCATATGCAAGGAGGATACTGAATGGCTTCTAGCCTTATGTAACCGATTGCAAAGGTCTCAAATCCAAACTTTCAACTTGGAGAGACCCCTTTGCAACTAGTCTTGTCTTGTTCCTCACAACACCTTGATCATCTTGCTTGTTTTAGAACACCCACTTTGTTCCAATGACTCTTGCACTGCTTTAGGTCGCTCTTCAAGAGTCCACACTTCATTGCTTGGTGAAGTTATTCAACTCTTCATGCATGGCATTGATCCAATTCGGATCTTGAAGAGCTTCTTCTACCTTTGGTAGGCTCATAACAAGAGACAAAGAGTGATGAGCAATAAATGAAGGAAGTTTTGAGATCTAGTCATTACTCCTTTTGATGGACTCCTATGATGAGATCTTGTGGATGATCTTCTTAGTAGAGGTGTATTTCTTCTATTGACCACTTGATGGGGAGGTTGTGGAGCATCAACATCTTTTGTGCTTGTACCTACATTTGCTCATGGGGAGACATGAGTGTCTTTATTTTCTACTCTCCTCACATCTTTTCACCATCTTGTGGCACATTTGATGAAGAGGTGGATCAATCACTTGTATATCATCTTCATCATCTTTTGGCTTAATGTCTCCAACCGGAATGTTCTTCATAGCCTCCCTCAATGGTTCATCACCACACATCATCAAGATTCTCATGTGCTCCTTTGTGAGTTGTTAGATTCATCAAATTCCACATCATACGTTTCTTCAACCAAGCCAGTGGCATGATTAAATACTCTATATGCTTTGGACTTTGATGAGAAACCAACAAGAAAAACCAATATCACAACGTTCTGAAACTTTCCTAGGTGTTGC